CAGCCTTGTGTTCTGTCTAATCCCCAAACTACTTCTAGCCAAAATGCTGCAATTGAAACAAATCCACAGTTAATCCTTAGCCCCACTCAGACCAGCTCTTCTCTGTCTTCGTGGATGTTACAAGATCTCGCAGCAAACCAGGCTCTTAAGGCAACGCAGGACTCTGCCCTACTGTATATTAACCCTACCCTGACCGAGTCTAGTGGCCCATATTTAGCAGAGACCTGAAAGAACCAAAAAGCTGTTCAACCCTACCTGCAGCTGCATTTAATTCTAACTGCAATGCCAACCCAATCTTAACTACAAGCTAATGACCACATCCTTCCTACAACTACAAATCAGCCACAGGGCAACAACAGACTTAAGTCAGGAATCCACTATTCTGCAAAACCTATAGAATTAAACTGTTCAGCACTGGCCACCCTATAATCAAACGACAGCTGGAAGAAAGTTTTGGATCAGTGTTGTTGCAGATTAGATAACACATTTGTTCTTACCGATACCACCTCTAATTTTATGCTCTAGCTTAACCACAGCCATATTAAGAAAGTGTTTCAAGTATTTTAACTCCCAGATATCAACTCTTACTCTAGTTTTATCCGTAGCCCAACACCAACACATACCCAAAAGGCTTCCATCTACAGCAGCATTAGCTCTCACTCAATGCTAATGAACTTGTAAGACTCCCAACTGTAACTCAAGTTCCCCAGCACTTGGCTATCCAAAAGACTAATCGCCGAACAGCACACTTTTGGGACTTTCTAGATCCAGCAGTAACAGTTTCCCCTCATGGAAGCCCAGCCTACTTACAAGCCAATAACTCACACCCATCTAAAAAATTAGTCATGACTTGCTCATCTAAGGCAATCTCAGTGTTCATCCTACTCTTGGGCCTGCGAGAGGAGGGAGGGAGAGGAAGGGAGGAAAGAAGGAATGGGAGAGGAGGGAAAGGCAGGAAAGAAAAACAAAAAAGAAAAAAAATAAGCAAGCTCAGAAATCTCTACCATCTCGAAGGCAAAGCTTACACTAATCTGAACTGTAACTAGAGCCCAGGACCCTTATTGCTCCCTGCAGAACTAACAGAAAGCTTTCACCCTATACTGGCACCAGCAGGATTTTCATTCTTCCAGCACAGTTCTTGCAGAAGTTATCTCTGAATCCGAGTGCTGTCATTTTAAACTGAACCCTAGCAAAGTAACCCATCCTGCCACAGAACTGACAAGAGGTCTTTCAGGACACCATCTGAGACAAAATCAGAAGAATTGTTGCTGTCCCAAACAGCTCCCATTCTAGTGCAGTGGGCTTTGCAGCACTCAGCAGCATACCAAATTTTTGCACTGCTACTGTAGCGGAACAAACACTTAACTGGGAATCTGACCCATTTACTGCAATGTGGCACACACTGGGAGGGAAGAGGGCACATGAACCCATGGGAGAAAGTCCTCTCAGCCTTCTTCCACCCACATTTCCTCTCCTCAGAAAGTTCTTTTCTCCCTGACAGTAACAAGGAGGAGGTAATATATATGGGAGAGGAGGTAAACAGCATGTAATAGCCTGGGCAGTGGCACACAGCAGCAGCTGTTTGCTGGGAAGGAGTTTTCTCCTCTTCAGCCCCTGATCTTCTCATAGGACACTGCAGGCCCAACTCAATTAACTAGTCTCCTCTTTCTCCCTAAGCTCAAGCAAAGAAGCCACGATGTCCAGGTCCAAGATGGGCAGCCATAGTCACCCAAGCATCTCAGGGCAGGTAAGGGCAGCTCACACTGGGAAGAGCTCAAGTGCAGGCAATTTAGCTGACTTTAACCACAAGCTGAGTGTCTACAAAGCAGGTAAAAGAATAAGATCATATTGGAAGTTGGGAGTGAAGGCTCTGCCAGATGGGGTTAGGGCAGACTGGGTCAGACACAGTCTTCTTAGAGTCTGGAGTATGTAGGGCTTTTGGAAGTAATAAACTACCTCATTCAGAAGAGGACTGACATTTACCACACGTGGCTTTGGGGCAAATCATGGAGCTGGGAAACATGTACATGTGGAAGGAGAACTAAAGCATCATAGAAAAGAAAAGGCATCAATCTAAAAGAGAGAGAGCTTGACTTTCATGGCTTCCTGGAAACAGCACAGCCTCAATCAGTTGCAAAAATAACACTGAGATGAATGGGTCACTTCCTCTTCCCGCTCCAGTCTCTTCTGCTCTAGAACAACATGTAAAACCCCTTTACACAGTTAGCCCAAACCTAGTGCAGGGACTTTACATGCCCACAGCCCCATCCCTTCCTGCCTTCTTGACAGCACATACGCGTCTCCCGCGTGCTTCCTTCCCCCTGCACAGCAGTCCTTCCAGGGTTACCAGGGGTGTGAACCAGCCACAACGGGAATGAAATTACGGCATTCATCTGCTTGAGGGAAACACCTGGGAGATGTTGCAAAATGAAAGCCGTCAAGGCAAAAGCCGATTCTGCCTCTTGGTGTACCAATTGTGTCATCTCAGGCTTAACAACATTGCTCCCAATTAAATGCAGCCAGAGCAAACACGCATCCGACTGAAAATTTCACGTCAGCATTGGTACAAAAGGTGACAGTCTTGTTACAATCGTTTTCTTCCTACAGCAGCCTGCAAGGTCGCTATATCAGATCATCATATGACATCCTAATAGACCTTTCAGTAGTTCTGCATAAAGATCTAAATAAATGTCTAATTTTAATGTGTAACAGCTATTTCCCTACCACAGATGATCAGTTTTACAGTTTGAGCAAACCGTGTTTTAACATATTTGTTAGCAGCGTTTGCTACCATTCTGGTGTACAAACCTAAGTTGTATGATTTGCCTTCCTAAAACTCATTAACAGATTTCTTTTTAATCACAGCACAACAGACTGCTTTTGGGGGATCCTCAAAAAAATCAATGTTTGCTCCCAATTTCCTACTCTGATCACATTTATTCTTAAGTGAGAGAAATAAAATCAAAGCAGCGATGCTACTGTAAAAGTAAACATTGTTGGAAAAAAACATTTAGAGATCAAAAAACTCAAACTGTTTCCCAGAATAATCATTTAATTGCAAGAAACACAAATAAACTAAAGAAACCTAGTTAGGAGAAAAGAAGGAATAGAAAGCTAAAATGTTTTCTGTTTGAATTGCGGCTACTACAAAAGAAGTGACTGACTGGAAAATGGAAAGCCCCTCTCTCAGATGTACTTGCTTACATCCTATTTTCAGCCTCTTCACCTAGCTTCCCCTCTGGAAAACCCTGGCTGCAGGAGAAGTCATGCCGTCTGGCACACCTAAAATGGGCAGTATCTTTTCATCACCACACGTCTGCTTTCACAGCCCAAAGGCAATAAAAAAGTCCCAAATTTATTTCTGGAAACCTCTGATACATCATGACATTGCCTTGCCTCAACCCTCACATCAGTGCTCAAAACTCCCCGAGAGCACGCACTTGGTAAACAACAGAATTTCAGCTATCACACGGACTAGCAAAGCCTACTGACATCAAAACTTAAAATAGCATATCGAGTCTGTCTTTCATTAGATTTCACTCATTTAATCAATCACAGTCTCAAACAGGGGGAACACAATTTCCACTGCTGCTCATCTTAGGAGCCAGTGTCCTATCACCCAGAACTCCCTTCCTGAATCTCCCCGTCTTCAGCTGTACTGCTAATCCAGCCCTGTGTACTTGACAAACTAGAAGTTTTCAAGCCAACAGACACCACAGGGAACAGAAATGAAAATTCCCAAAGTAGACAGTTAACTGGTTAAGGAATTAAAAGTTTTGCTGTCATTGCTTTTTTAATAAACCAACCTCAACTACAATTTTCACAAAGGCTTTTAGAGAACAGATAGAGTTGTACAGTGTGCAATAAAACACATCCTCTTATAATATTACAGAATAGCAGAATGCATTAAATACTTAAAATTATTGCCACATATTTAAGGATAATTTTACTCCCTTGTACAATTCACAACGGGATTAGCTGAAAGTCTTGAACTGAAGAGAAAATCTGTGTGGAAATTAGATGTCCCAACAGGAGGATGTACATACTACAAGCACCCCAACACTAACTGTTTTGACCTTCTCTAAGTGTTACGCATGCACAATGTCTGTGTCTGCAGGAAGCTTGAAGAATTAAACCTGGTGTCCTCTTCCACATTTTTAGCAGCAGTGCAGAAAGGAGGTACCAGCCAGCAAAACGACATCAATACTTACCAAGGTAAAGGTAAAAAAAAAACCTCCCTGAGATGTGGCACGGGCTCCATCTAGAGGAGCTCAGCTTCCTTCCCTACCCGCCTTGCAGAACTACTGATCTCCACGCAAGATGAGTAAGAAACAGAACTGCAACATATTACGATGTCTGGGAATTACGCCCTCTCATAAATTTGCAATGCCCTTTGGAAAGCCTGATACTCCTGATGTATACCATAATTATAAATATGAAAGTGTATCATCTTTACCATTGAGGGGTAGTTGGTTGGTTGGTGGGTTGTAAAATTTGACTGAACAACATGGTAACCGGTTCTTTATTGTTTCTGGCAAACAGCTGCCGAAACAAAACATCAAATACTCAGCACATAAATGTAAGCTTCAGATAGGATACTGAACTTAAACATTAGGATTTCTACTTTTATGCAAGTTCAAAATACTAGATGTCTCATTTTGCTCTAGTTACTGGGTTTATTTCATGTTTAAAATTTAGCTTCTGAAGGATTAAGAGATTTCCACACCTTCTAAATTTTTTAGTATAAAAAAATACTACATTTTAATTATTTCAGTAGCCATTAACAGCTGACTGAAAATATAAGAACAAAGACAATATGAAAGAGGTCAAGATTTAGACCTATTTTATAAACACAACATAATACACTGGACACTTCAGTACCTAATGGCCTAGTACAGATTAAAGCAAAAAAAAAAAAGATGTGTGGTGTTTTCAAAGTACTTAACGTTAATTGTATATTACCATCCCAGCCAATGAACCTGATAGTGTGCAAGACCTACCTGTGGGCTTGTCTTTCTAAAGGTGTCAGTTCCATGTATCACATCTTTTGTTATTCTTTCTCTGAGATTATTATACTCCTCTTCAGTGAGGTCACTATCCTCCAACTGATGGTTGCATACTGGGCACTGTCCACTGTAATAATAGTGAAACAAGAAAATAAAAAGATAAAGGCTTTTAAATACGAAATAGAATCACAGAATCATAGAATGGCCTACGCTGGAAGGGACCTTACAGATCATTTTAATCCAGCCTCCCTGCTGCCAGGGACGCCACCTCTCAACTAGATTAGGCAACACATGGGGACCAAACAGGAATCGAACCCGCGACCTTAGCCCTGTTAGCGCTATGCTCAACTGACCGAGCTAACTGGAAATACTTTAGATTTTACTAACTTTAGATTTTACTGTGTAGGAGCACAGTTCTTTATGGGAACTCCAACACAGCGCAATCACTAGAAAACTAGTGGTCATCTTTCTGGGATGCATCCAAAACCTATTAAAGTCACTAGAAATAGTTTTATGTGATTTAGTGGGATCAGGATCAAAGATTTAACTGTAGAGATATTTGAGGACTTAAGACTAAAATTCCGTATGAGCCAAGAAGCAGTTGGATAGGACATTAATGTACACACAAAAAATAATCACAGTGGCTCAGGTCTGTTCTTGAGCACTTCTACCAAGAATATTCAACAGGAGATCCAGCTTGCATCTCCATCACTGGACTGGACATTCCAGTCACAGTACCAAGAAAACAAGCAGAACTGAGTAACTTCTCCACAAGCAATAAAATGATGCTTAGTCTGAATGGGTCTTTGGTTCTTCCTGGCTGATGAACAATGACTTTTTTGCTTCTTGCTCCCACTTAACCTTCTCTTATATGCAGGATATGTTGTTGATGTTTCACATTTTTCCTTTCTATCATGCTCTTTCAGAAGCCTATATTCACCCAGTTGGGCATAGTTTGAACTGAAGGAGTAACCATTCCTCTCTATATCCATGCAAATACTATTATTTTCACAAGCACAATCTCAGAATTGAACCGTAGGAGTTGAGCTTTAAGTGTTTAAACAGAACAAGTTATTCTCCCCTAGTTGTCTCCACAGAGATATCCTAGAGATGCCAAAGCTGGGTCACTGTAATTTTCTAAAACCACGGCAGTCAGAAATGTTAAGTTTTCCCAACAATTGCTGACTAGTACACAATAATGCACATACCACATGCCAAGACTGCATTAATTGCAATGCTGATCGTGCATCTGCGGGATCAAATAAAGTTACGCATGGAATCCCAACAACGGACATTCCCTGCTGCACACAAACAACACACTTCAGCTGCTCCAACCGCTGCGGCCACTGCAGGCTGAGACTGCAATTTTCTGCCTAGCAGAATTTCTTTTAAAATGTGCATGTTGGGTCTTGTTTAATGCACAAGAATGAGTTAGAAACTGAAGCTCAGGAAATCATACGTAGACAACAAAGGTTCATATTGTCAAGGATTAAAATATTTTCTTGTATAAGGAAAGTTATTTTTTATATTTACGAAAGAAGAGTTCAAGATAGATAATCAAGACAACAGCTCACATTTAAACAGAATGTTGCATTTACCTGGTTTTAATGTTGGTCAGGTGTCCTCTCCAGTTCCCTCCTGGTATACTAGTTATGTACAGAGGGGAAGATATTAAATTAGAATCTAAAGTTTTTATTTAATATCCAAATGACAGATAAAGAATAATTCTATTTTGGTGAACATTTAGAACATTTAGAACATTTGGTTAACATTCAGAAGTAAAAGACTAATCAATCATTTACCCTGCTAAGAAATCATATAAAGATTCATATATAATTTAGCAACGCCTGGAAATATTATAAAAAAAGCCAGCGTTTAACGAGATGCAGAGAACTAACACCACCTACCTCGCCAGTTTACATTGTCTCCCAATATTAAGAGCCACAAAAATAATCAGGCTGCACTGATAATTTTTAAGTGGCTGCCCTATACGTTCATAAAGCACCTCAGAAACCAGCTGGGAAAGCAGAAATCAAGGCTCCTATGCAGATGTCATCCTGAGAGATTAAGAAAGGTAAGCTCATACCAAAAATGCTGCACTGAGACTTTCTGACTCATCAACAGCAGCACTGCTGCCACCACACTGGTGTAGATACTCCTTTTTGCATACGAGATCCCAACCAGAATAGGTTACAGAATAGGAAGACCCAGGCCAACACACAACTGCTGACACCTCTCTCTTTGCCACTGGGTTTACTGCCACCAGCTGCACAGTCACACAGGCCATGGGCTTTGGAATAACCATCCTGCTTCTGCCCTCCTTCCCCATTTCTCATGCTGATACATAGCGGTTCTTTAGTTTTCTTAAGAAGACAACAGACAACAGAAAATACTGTGATTTTTTATTGCACGCTTGGATCTCTGTATTCAGTGTGGCTTTGTCACTGCTAGAAGTCAGAGCTGGTCGGCTCTTCCAAAAAACAAACACCTATTCAGTTATGCTCACAGAGCTCACCTCTGTGCCCACTGTACCAGCGGCTTCCTTTGTCAGCAAAAGTCACCTTCCAATCTGCATCATTTTTGCAAGACTAACAGTGTTAGAAGTTATCAGATTCTACTTCTTTTGGGGAACTCTACTGCTTATTTCTTTTCAACTGCCAGCATGTACAAGTCCAGCACCAGCAACTGGGACAGGTAAAACAGAGCATTTTGTACAGGTTCACAGATGAAAAGCCAGACAAGATAACAAGACCACCCAGTTTCATCCCTCTGCTATGGACTTGGCTTCATGTTCCAAACACTACTTCCTTTAGGGAAACAGCCAACATTGATCTTAAAACATGAGTCTACCTCACTACTTCACTAATTGTTCTAACAGTCAAGCACATCATTAAAGATACAAACAGGAGTTTGTCTGGCTTCAGCTCGCAGGGTGGGTTTGCCAGGCAACGTAAAGCTCTTCAACACGCTCACTGACCCTGCAGTCTCCTTGCCAAGGACTTTTTACTACACTGAGTTTCCCACATGCAACGCACACTTAGAGGCAAGTCCATCTCTGCTCACTGGGAAAACAGCACCCTGTGACAGATTTTCACCTACAAACTAGTTCATCTCAAGTGACGCCCACTCTGTCTGCTCGCCAGCTGTTTCCAAGAAAGACAACAGCGAAGGGACAGCAGTATCAACTATTCTAATAACAGCAATGCGCTCTCACAGCCACATTTTCCATCCAGGAAAACTAACTTGTAAAATGGTTGTACAGTGCACGTAAACCAAAGCCAACACACACAACAAAAGTCACAGACGGGCTCACATACAACAGCCTGGCAAATACACAACAGGCTCAGGCAAGCGACGCCTTACACGTGCAGCATAACTCGTTGGAATTTGTGGAGTCTGACCACTACTACTCATGAAAAAAAAAACCTGTGTGATCTGCTACATATGTGATAAAACAAAGAGCCTTCTATTAAGATTATTCCTCTCCTATTTTTCTATACAAAGTCAGCATTTAATGGTCCCTTAACTGAGGCCAAATCTGTTGCCTCTTTCCTTTAAAGAGGGAAACTATCCAGTTTTCAAATAATTTACTACTTCTACACTCCGACAGATTATGGGAAAACCCATCACATGTGCCAATACTCCTTATGTGCCAATCCCAGAAAGAGATGAAGTCAGATATTTTGGTGAGCCACAATCCATTGCAACTTCCTACTTTCTGTACCAAGAAATAATATTTAACAGGTAAAATCTTTCAAGAAAAGGTGAAATCAGTACAAATTTTATACTAATTTGGAAGCAAAAATAAAATGCATCTTTTCATGACAATGTATCTCTCATGGAGAAGCAACAGTCAAAATGAGATATTGCGGGATCTTATTAGACTTGATTTGTAGAATAATCTGAATCCCATCCTTATGAACTGGAGCTTGCTATTGAAACATTTACCTTTCAAACCATAGCTTTATACTCCGCATAAATGTTTTGTGAGGATATATTTGGTTCTCTCTCAAATATAAGAGGATATCAAACAGGTCTTTTTGTAACTCAGCACCTTTCATACCCCTGCTGAAGTCAAAAAGGGCCTGCAGGACATCCAAGGTTGGGACCAAATCCTTAGCCAGCATTTCACGGTAAAGTTCAAATGCGAGGTTCATTTCTTGGTGCCGGCTGGCTGCTCTGATACAGGATTCATAGTTTGTCCGTGAGGGATTCATGATCTTCTTTACTTCTTCCAAAACAGTCAAGGCCATTCTCCATTGATCTGAATTACTCAGCCCCCTAATAATAAGGTTGTAAGCCCCGCTGTCTAAAATCTTAAATCTGATTTTCATGATATCATACACATCGCAGATTTCTGAAGTCTGCCCACGCTGGACACACAATGCCAGATATTTGACCAATAAAACATATGCAATGTCACCATTACTCTTTGCCACATGGGTCAGCAAGGACTTGGCCACATCAATGGGGCTGTTGCACTTGATCATACTGTTAAGCATCACTTCTTCAAATATTTCAGGTGAATGAAAGCTTTCCCTCAGTCTTTTCCATTCCTCACCCTGCAAAGGTTTTTCTGGAGGCTGTAGACTGGCAAACCTACGCCTGAGCAGAACTCGAGACATTAACTGTTTCTTCGGAGATCCAGTAGAGGAAGATAAGTGGAGTTTTCTTTCAGCTATTTCTTTAGTCTCCTCATCCCATCCTTTTTCACCTTCACTATCAATTTCAGACTTTTTCTTGGTAGGAAAGGCATCAGTTCCTTTGGGATCCACTGGCAATGCAGTGCCGGAAGATGTCATAAAACTGAAACCACTAACCTTTTCCCTGTTGGGGCTGCTGAAAGAGACAGCAAAGAGTTGTTGGCATCTTGAAGGTGACCAGAATGTACGACATTTCCAAAGCAAAGCCTGAAACCCCTGGTGACTAGTTTGAGAAAAGAGCGCCATCAAAAGAAATTATCTATCAGCTCACTGTATCTAATGAAGTTATAAAACAGAAAATGCAATTTGCATAGAGATGTTTACTACAGAAGCCCAAGGGCTGCTAAGTTGTATAAGCTTCAATTTCAAAATGCCTGTTCTGAGTCCCTTCTGCCTCTTGTCAAAACACGAAATTGTAAAAACTTTTTTTGGTAGAAATCTGTGTCTTAGATGTAAGAACATTCATCCAAAATGAGGGTATCCTTCTTTCTAGAGAGGCTGCTTTGCAAGTTTGCAGCTTATTATTTCTGTTTGTTGGTCACAGTAAAGACGAGCACTGAGCACGCCGTAGGCAAACAGGCAGCTGTGATGCAGCTGGGCAAAACGGACGAGTTTTTTCTTCCTGCCTTCAAACCAAGTCGAATCAGACTGCTTCCTAAAAAAGGGAAAAACAAAAATAACACCGCAACATCACAACCTGCTCCGTGCCTTCCTGTCGTATTTACATCAGCATGCTAGCAAGCACCAAGTTCATGGTACCTCGGCAGCTCCAGGTCAGGAACACCAGCCCTGATCCCTCCCCAGGCAGCCCCAGCACCGGGCTCCTGCACCGCTCCCCTCACACCTTCCGACCCGCCACCAGCTTCCCTTGGACTCGTCTCCCCAGTCGCAAACCCTTACGGCACCGCCGCCAAAGAGGCGGAGCAACACCATTGGCAGGAATTACCGGGAGATCCCACCTAAACGTTAGGATATAAACACAAATACCAGGGGTTCGCG